GGGCAAAGTTCAGAGCCACGAGCCTCAAAGTACCTTTGGTAGGAGCAGATAAGTAGATGTGAGAGGCCAGGCCTGAATTCGTGCCCCCGGTGGGCTGTGGTGAAGTTTGAGAGCAGAGACTGTTCTACCCCTCTGAGCTTGTGGACACAGAAATGTGCTCTTTGAAGGGAGATTGTGACAATCCTTTTCTACAACAAAGCAATGGAGCAACTCCCGGCTTTCATTTGATAAAGTCTGTATCTTCGTGTACTAGTACCAGACTTAAATAACGGACACACTAATTACATCCTCTGGGATATGAGGACATTTAGAGACAAGAGGAATTATGGCAGCCATCCAGGAATTATGCAGCATGATTGAAAAAGGGGAGCTATCCGTGTTACTTAAAATGGGCATAAAATGATACATAAAATTAATTTTGCATGTTATAGCTGGCTCCGTCTAGTTGAAACCGACCGTGACAAGTGGATGGACAGATTTCTCTTGGGAACCAAGTTTATTTACCTGCCACCAGCCCTGAGGTTCAATTCCTCTCACCTCCCCTGGGCACAGGAACTGTTTTTTTGTAAGTTGGTTGTAAATGTGCACTGTGTTAATTGTCCCCTCCCAGTCCCCAGCACTAATGCCCTATTAAGTCCCTAATTAGCTGCTCTCCTCCCTGGCTTTAGAAGTTAGGTGTTGGCAATGTTTCCTTGCCTTACGGCATCCCAGAGAGCCTACTCTTCAGGATTAAGATGCGCCTCTCTGCACCTGAGCTCCAGGAAGTAGAGTCAGTGATCGAAGGCCGGGGATATGTGTCCAAATAAATATCAATCCTCAGATATAAAGCCTTTCTCTTAAGTTAACAGCAATGCTGGGAGCCAGAGGGGAAGTGCCTAGGAGTGCAGTGAGGAGTGGGGCTTCCATCAGACGATTTTGTAATATCACCTCCCAAGGTCTCCACACCTCTTACTTTAGGTAAAGAAGCCTCCCAGGTACAAGACCTAAGGCCACCTGCAGAACTTTGTGGAGACCCTGGCTCCCTTGACTTGCTCTAGTCTTTGGTGAATGTTTGCTTCCCCATGGAAAACCAGGGCACCTGGAGTAATTCTGGCCACAAGAGGCCAGTGTAACCTGGGAAGCCCTGCCTTCCCTCCCTCCTCTACAGGAGGTCACATGCCTAGCAACAGGTGTGTGAGAGGCCTTCTGTGGAACTCCTAGGCCATCAATGCACAGCTTCCTGGACCACCTGCACTGATCTGCCTGCCAAGATGCCCCTGTCCAGACCCACCTTTTCAAACCCACCTTTCAGATCCACCCGTCCACCTGTCTGCTTTCCCAGACTCACTGACTTGCCCTCAGCTGAGTATCCAGTTGAGAGGAGAGCTGGAAGTTATTGCCTGGAGCCCACAGTTGACATCTGTTGCTCCTAAACTAGCAGTACACCACATGGCTCCTGCCCATCCCACACCAAGCCTGTCCTCGCTCACCTGTTCTCAGCTTCCTATTCCCCTTGGCCCTGTCCTTTTCAGAGCCTTTTCAGAATTCAGTGTGCTGCCTCAGCTAGCAAGCAAGGTATCACAAACCACCTAGGGAGGCCCATCTGTTCCGTATTAGGAAAGCCTGCCAGTGTCTGGTGGGAAGGACTTGGATTAGGTCAGGCCGAGTCCATCTCTGCCTCTGAGGCGCTGACTCTATGCTTCTTCTGGGTCCCAAGCCCTCCCCTCAGCATCTGTGTGCCACAGGCCTCCAGCATCTTAACAATTCTCTCATGAAACACCTGTCCTTGGTGGCATAAACATGCCAGCAACTCTCAAATCAGTGATTTCAATTAACTGGGCACTCCTCAGAGAGCATTTCTTATTATTACCTCTGTCTTGCCAACGGCAGGCCCTGCTGGGAGGGCCTGGTTCTTGTGCGTGAAAATCCAGAGCACGGGTATTTGGTAAGACACGCCTCATTCCCTCTAGGCTCCTGGAAAGCTTTCTGCCAGTGCTCTGTACACTTCCCTTCCACCAGGCTCATCTTTGGGGGTTCCCCCAGACATAGCACCTGAGACAGAGATGCAGATGTCTGCAAGTTACTGTCCCTGAGGAGGACCCCGGGAAAGAGGAAGGAAGGGGACCAGACTGCCTCAGTGAGGGCGGGTAGTCTCAGCTGGAACCCAGCTGTGCTCTGGACCATGATGTGCACCAGGCACTTAGCAACCCCATTTACTGTCCTCAGACAGTCAGGGCCTGCAGGAGCCCAAGCAAGCCAATCTAAGACCACCATGATGGATGCCCCTAGAGGGTGAAGTAGAGGGGCCCCAACAGTGACCATGACCAGGGTTCTGACACCTGATCAGGGACCAGGAAAATTCAGAAAGAAGACTACAGCATTAGAATTAAGGTTGGAGGGGCTAGTCCACCAACCTTCTTCTACAAACGAGAATGCTGAGGTCCATAACCATTGCTCCATTCCCCCATTTTTTGCAGAATCAGGAAAAAGCTCTCCAAAGCTGGAGTCCTAGCCAGGAGCCCTCTGCCTTCAGACACTCTAGAGGAGGGAAGTGCTCATAGGATTGGGGTGCGGTGCCCAGGTCACAGGTGTCTGTGGATGCTAAGGTGGTACGGCCTCCTTACAGGACAGTGGTACCCATCCTGCCTGTCTACTGTGGCTGGACCACGAGAAGCTGCCCTTTGTTCTGCTGGGGACCTCAGACTCCACATAACAGTTCTCAAATCTTTAGTGGACAGACAGTGTTGCAGAGAACAAGAGATGCTTCCAGAATTTCCCCACTCAGGCCAAGTTCAGTCAAACATTATGAAGAAAAGATAATCCAAGCAAGACTTGCAAATGGACCACTAGCTACCAGAGCTCCAGTCTCAGGCCATAGCCCAGGCCAGGAAGCCTCCTGAACTATAGTCTGCATACGGAGGCTGGGGTGGAGCTTGCTTCTGTCCCAACAGCCTGACTCTAGGCAGGAACCACCACGTATCAGTCCAAAGAGTGCAGTTTCAGTCGAGTGTAGTCAGGGCTAAGAAGAAGCTCTGGAGTCCACATAGGAAGCCCTCCATCACCAGCTCTGTGTCCCAAGGGAAGGAAGGCAACTCCCAATAGGGGTCTATGCTCTCTGCTGGCCACACTTGGTCTGGGGAGTCCATGGAGCAGCTGAATAATATACAGCATGGCACAATTACCCTCAATTTTTTTATGCCAGTGGCTGCTGTACTAAGCAGGCCTGCAGCCTCCCTCCAGGCCCCCAGAGGATAGAAATCTCCTGTCCAGGCACCTTGGGGGACAGGAGGATTCTTAGATTTGAGCAGGGAAGGGATCTGACCTCCTTGGCAGGGATCCTGGCTCAATTAGCTGGCCTTCCCTTTGTCTGTCAGCCCCTGGTACAGGCCTGGGCGGTGTGAAGGCAGAGCCCTGGCATGGACACGACGCTCTTCTGTCCTGCTTCTACTTCCTCTAGTAAGGTGGGCAGTCAGAATGAAGCAACTCTCAATTGCTTTCCCCACCTGCAGGATGGTAGCGTAAGACCTTCTTAGCGTTCCCAGAAGGTCAAGTCATGCCCAGTGCTGGAGGTTATGCCAACCAAGAAGACAGGTCACAGTCTTCTTCTAGGAGTTATGAGTAGGCCACTGTGGTCAGTGCTCCTGGCACACTGACGAGGGTTTAGGGCACTGCTATTGGCTGCTGACACCCCACCAGACTGAGGTGTGATGCCCATAGGTTAGTGTACACAGTTTGACTCCCTGAGGTTCTGAAGGTCAAAAGTCCTTAGCAGTTGCTGGACAAGGTGGCTATTTAGTATTTCAGCTGCTGGAGAGTCATGACCTGTGGACTTAGGTGTTCCTTGTTAGCCAGGCATGGCAGAACCAGAGAGGTTTCGGGAAATAGTTTACAAATGAGTCCATCCCTAGATCTGGGCCGAGAGATGCCCCAGAGGGCCAAGGTCTGAACTCAAATGTCCATGTTAACACTGGGATAGTTGGAAGTACATGAAAGAAATCCGCCACTGGGAGGTTGGTTCCTTCAGGAGAATGAAGGGGAGACTGTGTACTGGTCTTTCCCAGTTCTGGAGGGAAGCTGCCAGTGACACTCTCTGCCTCTCTGTGTCTCCTCTGATTTCATCCTCAGGTTTTCTTCACAGCCTCTGGTTCTTTGCCTCCCTCCTATAGGGATCATTAAGGTCCTACCTGGATGGTGCAGGCCATCTCCCCTTCTCAATATCTTAATCAAATCACATTCACAAGTCCTGGGGATTTGGATGTGGACATCTTTGCGACCATCATTCTGTGCACCACACCCCGGACAGGACAGCAAATGCAGTGGACTTTCTCAGGGTCATTTCTGAGAAGGGTCCCAGTCAGTCTCTCCAGAGTTGCCAGCATGCAGAGGCCCAACCCTTGGGCCCTCTGCCCATCCCAAGGAACGTAGCTAGCTGGGTTGGGCATGGAGTGATTTTCTCTGTGCAAAGTAGAGTAACCTATATTAGCACAGACCATACAACTGCAGGCGCAGTGTGTGGCCTTCTGGGGTGGGATATGAGCAAGATGTTGGGGACATGAGCAGTAATGAAGGACACTCCCACTGCTCAGTGATCTTCTCTTAGAGGGAAGCAATAGCTGAAAGTTTTCTGCATGTGTGTTCCTGCCCATTGCCATGTGAGAAGAATCATGGAGCTAGAGGGACCCTCAGAGGCTGCTGCCAGAATCTGAGGTCCAGGGAAGGGGGCCTCAGAATCTGAACTAGAATATCATTAAATTGACATCAGAGCTGCAACCTTGTGTGGCCTCGTTGAGGTACTTAGCTTCTCGAATTTCAGTGTCGTTGCCAGTAAATGGAAGGTCATGGTAAGTCAGCCTGTTAATCAAATGAGATGACAAAACACCACAGAAGCACTGGTTTGTTGTCACAAGTGACCTTTGTGACCTGGAGAGTTCAGTTTTGAAGGTACCTTGAGTGAGGGGCACATGAGTGGCTTTTAAACCAAGTGTCTTCGGGAGTGACTGAGGTCAGTTTTCCTCCAACAGGTGCGTGGTCTGGACGGGTGATGATCGGGTTTTCTTCTTCAACCCTACAATGCAGCTGTCAGTCTGGGAGAAGCCCATGGACCTAAAGAACCGTGGGGACCTCAGGAGGATCATGGAGGACCCGCCCCATAAGCGCAAGCTGGAAGCCTCAGCAAGTAACGAGGGGCAGGCTGTGTGACGCTCTTTGAGGGTTTACACTTGCTATTTCTAAGGGGGCATGGAGTGGGAGCGTGCTTTTTCTGCTTCTGTTGGAAACTGATTAAGGAGTCATGTTCACCACTGTAGAGTCAGTAACTAAATTTTTGTACCACTTTCTGCCCAAATCTTGACCTTGCCAAGCAGTGGGTTTGGGCTTCCCCTTGCATCATAGGTGAGGCCATAGGTGCAGGAAGGTGCTCATTGTCTGACCACTTGCACTTCCTGTCCATATGGCCTCTAGCCAGCCCTTTGCTTCAATTCCAAATGTCTACTCATCTCCACTTGAGAGGCAGATGTGCACAAATGGGAGTGCATTTCCTTCTACCCTGCAGCTCTCTCCAGCCCTTGGACCATGTTGGTTGGCACATGGCTGTGTTTGAATGGAAGCCTGTGCAGGAGGAGCAAGTATCCTCTTGGGCTATAGAGGAATGAGCTGCTGGGCAGGGAGGCAGCTGCTTCTGACTGGGGCTGTAAATCTTGTCTCACCAAGAGTCAGAGAAGAGCGTTCCACCTTCTCAGAAAGGCTCCCTTCCAATTAGAGCCGATACATTTTTTATGAGCTACTTTGAGGGGAAGCCCAACTCCCCCTACTCTCTGAGCACTCAGATTAAAATAGCTTCGCTCCACCAGAGACATGTGCAAGCAGCAGCTGTCTCCACCTTGACAGCAGCACGTGTGACTGAAGGGCCAGGCTGGTGGACATGGGATCTTGACTCTTTCGAAGAAGGTGTTTGTTTAATTTTGTAACAATATTTTTGATTTCATATTATATAGGACTAATCCAGGATGACATCAGCCTATACTTCCAGTTAATCCAGAGGCATTTAGAAGCTGGTGCAATTAAAGCAACAGCGCCAAGAGTCAGGGAAATGGTTGCTCTTGCAAAGCTGGTATTAGTCTTTTAAGACGGAGAGATGACAAGTTCAATACATTTATTTCAGTTCAGATAATAAGAACATTCTCCAGAGAGCTTGGGTCAACTGATGTTGGGAAAAGAAAATTGTTCTATGTGCATTTTTAACTATAAAATCTGTAAAAATGTTCCCCTGTTCAGAGACAGTAAGGGCTGGATTTGGCAATTTCATTTCTTCCTTGGATCAAATGGTATTCTAATGTATATTAAAAAGATGCTTTGGAAACCATTGCAGAAAACAGTCTCTCAAGGTCCCTGGGCAGCAGAATAGTGCACAATTTAGGAAGAACAAGAGAACTTGTAATTCTACAAGACGCATTAAGGTACAGTTTATCCTGACAGTGACTTTGTTTGCTTGGTAAAGGCAAATAATGCAGTATGTGCCTTGCTCCTTTCCTTACTGGTGTTCTTTCAGATGATTGGTTGCTATGTCTTTTTTTCCCAAAGAATTAGTAAGAATGTGAAAGAAAAGAAACTTACTGAAAGTTAAATGCACAACTGCTCTCCCATTTCCATTGTGTGGAACACATCGGGCCAGGTCTGAGCAGAAAGAGGGAGCTGTCCCCAGGTCCCACAGGGCTGGTCATCTGCTCTCTCGAGGCCTGGGGACTGCAGACCAAAGACAGGACCCCGGATTGTATGAATCCCAGGTCAATTCTCCACTTCACTGTACAAACGAGAGTCTCATTTCGTACTGCCAAGTGCAGGGACTAAAGTCTAACAAACGCAACAAAAATGTCTGATCAACTTAATTTAACCTATCATGGTATTTTTGTCTACCACCAACTTTAGTATGTAGAACTACTTACTCTAGGCAGATAGACATGTAATTAAAAAAATACACACAATTACAAAACCATTTTTACTTTACTTCTCTTATAAAGAGAAGGAAAGATGGTCTTAAATCAGTCAAGTTTTTATATAATTCTTCAAGATATTCGAATGAGTTCAATTCTTGATATCTAGTTGCCAGGGTGGAATAAGAACATAACTCCTAATTTCCTGAGATCTACCCGGAGAACTTTACAGACAGACAATTAGAGAAGAGGGTATTTCTGGAGGACTAATTAGCTACAAGGGGCAGAGTGGACAACCTCCAGCCCTCAGCAGCCAGTGGCATTTTCCCTGGCTGGTCATTCATCGTGACCTATCAAATGATTTTGCCCTCATTATTATAACAGGGTCCGGGGAGATTGCTCTTGGTTGGGAATTTTGTTTTCTCATTTTGTTCAAGTGTGAGCCATTCTAGATTTGAGCATATTAATCCCTGTTTCTAGTCCGAAATGGGACAATTAAGTATTCCAATTGATTCCCATTATTTTTCAAGAGGCAAATGCAACAAATTGATGTTGTAAAGTGGCTGCCCCATTTAACTGCTGTTAGGTCCTGTGTGCGTGGGTGTGCGTGCGTGTGTGTGTGTGTGTGTGTGTGTGAAGCCATGGAAGTGGTAGCTTATAGTGTTAGGGAGTTTACAGGGTACAGGATACAGAACTGTCTAAAGTGCTAAGCCATTCATCACTCAGCAGATAAGGAGGGAGGCTGCTTTTTCATTCTCCTAGCATTGCTGAGGGGTATGAGTGAAAGCCTGAATTATTTTCTAATTACCTTACAATGCATCCAGATTTTTTATGGCTCTGTAGCTTTGCCGTTAGTTGGGAATAAGTGCCTGTTGAACTGAAGTGAAATGAGAAGCGGCAGTTTCACCCCAAGCTCATGCATTACACACTGACATTCAGGGCGGGGGGGGGGTGCTATGAGCTCTTCAGTTTAGAAGATACTTGCTTCTGCCTCTCCATCAGGTTCTGTGTTCCTCAAGCCTACTAGGGGTGCGTCCTTTTTCCATTTTTATGGTAGCGGGAAGATGGCTCTTCCTAGAGGTGGGGAGGACTGTCTCAATAGTCTGGCTCATGGACCTGCAGCTTCATCTCCTTGAACCCTGCCTGCACTGTCCTCAGAGGTGCATCCCATTCCTGCACTGGGAGGCCTGGTGCAGCCTGGTGGGAAGTACAGAGGTGATGGGGTACCCAGCCATTGGGTTGTTCCTCTGGGGTGGAGAAAAGAGGCAGAGAGAGGTAGGCAATAAACACCCCACCTGCTGTCTCCTCCTCCTCTGTCTCCGGCCAGTGCTTCCCAGTGGCCAAGGAAGACAGGAGGCCTGGGGATAGAACTGAAGAGGTGGGTATCCACCCAGCTGGGAGGGTGGAGCAAGGAACTGCCACAATTGGCTCCCTGAGATCCTCCCACAGCCCTGCAGGTGGCTGCCATGAGTATTGGGTACCAATTGCTGGTGTAATGAATTGTCTAAAAGGAGGCCTAAAACATGACCAATGGACTGGCTCACTTTCTGGAGGACAGAAGTCCAAGGTGAGTCTCCCAGGCATCAGCAGGATTGTGTCCTTTCTGAGACCCTGGGAGAGATTCCCTTTCCTCACCTCTTCCAGATTCTAGAGGAGCCGACTGCCTCTAGGGACCCCAGATGCTCCCTCTATCCTCAGAGCAGCAGGGTAGCATCTTCCAGCCTCTCTCTGACTCTGGCCCTCCCTTCTCTCTCCTGCACTTGCAAGGGTCTTTGTGACTATACAGGGCCACCTGAATGATACAGGATGACCTCTCACCTCAAGGTGAGGCTGCTTAGTAACCTTGATCCCTCTTGTCAAGTAAGCTAGCACATTACTAGGCTCCAGGTTAGGATGTGACATTGGTGGGAGGGAATTTCTATTCTGCCCCCCACAGTCTTTATTCCCACTTTACAGAAGAGGGAATTAAATAACATGGGTGAGTCAACTTGCTAAATATCATACTTCCATCACGTGGGGATTTGCAGCTCAGTGAACCTGACCCCAGATCTGAGGAGGTCAACCTGGCCCAGCCTCCTGATGGCTGCTCCTTGGGCCTCCTAGGAAGAAGTAGGGACAGGCAGCCTTGGCCTGACACTCCCTCGTCCCCAGCCTGTGATGGAGATGGCAAAAGCTCACTTGGCTTCAATTGCTTTGCAAACATTTTAGTCATTTATATTCATGACAAATGTGAATTCATAATGACATTCATTTTACTAAGTAGGATATAAAATCATCCCATGAGTAAACACAGCTGTGACTAGTGAATGGGTCACTTTCCCAAGCCTTGTTTGGCTGAGACAGTGTGTACTGGGGTCCCCACATCACAATGGGACCAGATGGCTGGGGCTCAGCAAGACTGGGGTCTCTGAGATGCAATACCAGAGCTTTCCTGGGTGTGCAGAGTGCTTCAGGTCAACCTGGCAGGCTCTCCCCACATGGAGTCCATCCACTGGGGCTCTGTCCTGGGGGACCTGACCCTCACCTGGGAGCTATTCTCTGTGTTGGGTGCCTCCAATGGCGCCAAGGCCTCAATCCGCTCTTTGCACAGCCATGGCACTAGGCGCTGTGTTTTCTAAGCTCCATTCCAGTGTCCACACTGGCCAGTCTCTGTATGTGACACCAGATGATACAGGTGATCCTTCAGACTCGTGCCTGTACCCAGGCAGGGTGCTTGTTTGATGCTGAAGGATTTGCTGGGTGCCTCTTGCTGGGAAGCACCAAGTCCAGTGTGTGCTGGCCAGAGGGGTCTTGAAGTTCCTCTCTGTCCAATGCTTAGTTGTCCACCTAGGCTTCAACATGGTGGAGGTGACATCCTTTGAGGAACTTGGTATAAAGGCCACTTAGCCCACTGTAAGCCTCTTCAGTGACCTCTGTAGACACCCAGAGCTCCTGCAAGCTGCACATCCATGTTTGCTCAGATCCCCGGATCAATCCTGTGTGCTCCTGGGAGGGCTGCTCCCAGACCCTAAAGTGGAGCACGAGTCTGGGCTGCCCAGCAGAGCCTGTGGAGGTGCAGAGTGTGGTCACCACCCGAGAGGGGGCCTCAGCCTGAAGGAATGAACTGGGGCTTTCTGTCCAGTTCCTGGGTGGTGAGTGCTGCTGCTCTGGGAAATGTTGTGTCCTGTAGGAGTTACTGCCCTCTGACTTTCCAAGTCGTGCCCACCTCGGACTCAGGTGCACCCACACACCAAGGATCTCACCTAAATGTATGCTTGCCTCACCCAACACAACCCACCTCCACGGTTCCTCAGGAAGTTTCAGCCATAGACTTTGCCCACCCTTCCTAAAGGGCGAGGCTTGAATGGTGTAACCCTTTCCATGTCTGGAAAGGAAGATGTTAGGCTCAGAGTCTCAGGGGACTTTGCACTGGCTGATCCAACCTCACTCCACAAACTCAATAACCTAAAAACAACTGTGTATGTTAGTGTATATGTGTCTCCACATTTTTGCAAGCACATTTATTGTGTAATTTAGTGTTACTGGAATTGCCACATCAAAAGGTCCATGCGTCTTGAATTTGTGACCAACACTGCCAGTCTTCCTGTGAAGGGACGAAGCAGCTCTCGCCCCCACTGACGTGCGCCACTCATTCCTTGTTGCTGTTGGTATTTCTTTAATTTGGAGTGAAATGGAACTGTTTTTCACAGGTTTCTTGGGCATTTGCTTGCTTTGTGCTTCGGTGAAATACTTTAGCACTTGTCTTTCTATTGTGTTAAAAGAGCTCTTGTAAGTCAGGACATCAGTGTGTTTGGGCTTCCGGTATTTTTCCTTGCCTTTTGATTTTTTTTTCTTTTTTCTTTTTGGTCACAAAACAAGTTGTTCTTGAATTTTTTCTTGCTGTGGTAAAATATAAATGACATGAAATTTACCATGTAACCATGCTGAATTGAAGTGTGCAATTCAGTGGCAGAAAGTGTGTTCACAGTTTTGTGGGTCCCTCCCCACTGTGTACTCCTAAAACCTCAAAACACCAAACAGAAACTCCCTAGGCCTCCTCCCCGTGGCCCCTGGCGACCTGTCACTCACCTCTGCCTCTGTGGACTTGCCTCCTCTATTACATGCCTCAAAGGAGCAGAAACAGACCATCCAGGCTATTTCACGAAATAGAGTTTCTGCAGGATTTATTCCTAATGTAGCCGGTATCAGCAGGTCCCTCCATTTTTGACTGAGTGATGCTCTGTTGTGTGTCCATTCCACATTTTGTTCATCCATTCATCTGTCCATGAATGAGCAGATGAGCTATTTGATAACACTTGAGTACTTTCCAGGTTTTGGATATTGTGACTAAGGCTGCTATAAACATCGGCACACAAACACCTGTCAGACACCCTGTTTTAGAACTGCTGGCTTATGTGCTAATTCTTAACTTTTTGAGCAGTGGCCAAAGTGTTTTTCACAGTGGCTACACTATTTCATGTTCCCATGGGCAATGAGCAAGGCATTCACGTTCCTCACCTGCTGGATGACATTCGGGTTTTCTGTTCTGTGTTGTCAGTGTGTGTGTTAATAGCCATCAGAGAGGATGTGAGGCATTTGATTTACTTCCCCTTAATAACATTGAGCATCTTTTCCTGCATTTCTGGGCCACTTTGTATTCTTCTTTGGAGAAATGGCTATTCAAATCCTTTCTGCGTGCTGTGTGGCTTAAGTTGTGTGAGTGGTGGGAGATGATAGATAGATAGATAGATAGATAGATAGATAGATAGATGGATAATAGATGATATATATAGATAGATAATAGATGATAGATAGATAGATACAGACAGAGCTCTATCTATAGATCTCTGGGTCTATATCATCAGATATATGATTTGCAAATATTTCCCATTATATGGGTAGTCTTTTCCCTCTGTTGGTAGATTTTTTGAGTCACAAAAGTTTTTCAGGTTGATTAAGTCCAACTTACTAATTTCCTAGTTGAATGTGTTTTCAGTGTCATATTTAAGAAATCTTGTGAAGTCCAACATCTTACTTCTCTTCTAAGGGTTTTATAGTCTTAGCATTTTAGTCTGTTAGAAGCCTATTTCAAGTGAATTTTTTTGTGTGGGCTTCCTCAGGGATGGTTTCTGTTCGGTTCTGTTTACCAGGTGAGTGGCCATACTCTCCTGTTTCTTTGTATTTTTGGAAACTTTTGTTCAACTAAGCATTTGGGGCACTGTAAGGTGAACTGTGGACCTCTTTTTCCTACTTCATGGTGATTGCTGACTTGGCATGTTGAGGGCTGGAGTCATCCACTGTGACTTTTCAAGTGGCCTTTATGAAGTATGTCGTCTTTGTCATGTGTAGTCTCACCTGTTTCTGTCCCTTCATCCCTGGGGGTCAGCATGATTAGAAGTGCCCAGCAGGCCCCAAGCTCTGAAGCAGTGGACTCCAATCATCATTCTAGCTCAGTGATGGTTGTAGTGGAAGGACTGACCCTGACAGCTCCATTTCCTCTCTGGCCTTATAGTTTTAAAGTTAGTCAAATTTACAAATGTTTTCCTTCATGGTGTCTGGATTTTACATCTTGACAAAGAAGACTCTACTCATGTTGAGATTATTCAAAATATTTTTTTAAAAACCTCTTTAAATAATAACCAACATTACAAACAAATTTCTTAAATATCTGTGTAATTGTATGACCTCATTTTTCACATTTCAAGAAACTTTCATGTTTCCTGTTTGACCTCCCTGGTGTGTGTGCTGGAGTATGGCAAAAGGAGGGATTTGGCTCATGGCTTGTCTTTGTGTTTCTCATCTCCTACTTCATCTGCCTGGAAGACAAGTAGATGCCAAAAACAATTCCAGTCACTCTTGAAAACCGAACCAGAATGTCACGCCTCAGAATGCACCAGCAGAATGCTCACCCAGGGAAGGATTTTCAAGCCATGAGGTGTGGCAGGAGCAGGGGGGATATGAGATCCCACACTCCAGGATTAGGGGACAAAGCAACAGTGAGAGTGAGTTTCTGGAGTGTCACATGGAGGCACACACATGGACATGGAGGTTGAGACAGTGCACAGAGGTGAACCCAGTGTGACTGTGCTGGACTGGGTACCTGTGGAACCTGAGACATGGGGCTAGACAGGAGTGGGGCTCGGGAGCAAGGGGACTGAATTGGGTCTTTGGGGGGTCTCTGGCATAGAAGGGTTGAGGTGGTCCTTGCTGGAAGGTTGTAGACAATGAGGCATAGACTTTCTGAGCTTCCTCCCCAGTCACCTAAGTGGTAGAAAATGTTTTCTTCACTAGTCCAGTGGCTTTCAACTGGGGTTGGTGCTTACACTTCTGGGGACGTTTAGCAGTTTCTGGAGACATTTTGGTCTTTAGACTTGGAGGATGCTGCATGTGGTGCACTGGTAGGATCAGAGACACTGCTAACCATCTTCTAGGGCCTAGGACAGCACCCACAGTGAGGGGTGACCCACCTGGATGCCAGCAGGGCCAAAGCTGCGAGTCATGATCAGAACCCTGGACACACCTGTGGCCTTCCACCCACCTTCACTTTGGAAAGACTGGTGCTGCCTGCGACACCTCTTCTGGTAGATACTCTCCATGATGTGTGATGGAGAACTGATGGCCGCGCTGGAAAATTCCCAGGCAGTCTTGCCCATAGCAAGGCTTAGGAAGCCCCCGGTGGTCCCTAGGCCAATGGATGACTGTGCGTGTGTAGGAAGTGGGATGGGTAGGCTGTCAGAGGAATAAGGCTGCTAAAAGGATATACGGTAGGCTTAGAATGAGCTGGAAGCCTCCAGAATCTGTACATCTCATCTTACCAACAGCCCCACACCCTACTAGAGAGCAGAACCATAAACAGATTGAGTGCCTGTAATTGAGGAACTAGGATTCCAAACACAGGACATGCAGAGAAGTGTTGGGTTTTAAAAGAAAAAGCAAGGAAGTCTACATGGTGTGGAATTTGCTGTCTTCCCACAAATGCCACACTCATCATGAGTGGATTTTTAAGCCTCCCAGGAGGGAGATTGGAGACAGCAGCCCTGGGAGGGTGTGACACTGGTGGCAGGTCTCGCAGGCATGCTCTGTCAAGCCCCTTCTTTTCACCACTGACTTAGGAGCAGGTGGCTTCAGAGGGAGGCAGACACAGGAGTACAGGCTGAGTGGCTCTTAGGATGCTAGGATCATTGATCAGCCCTTCGGTTGACAGGTCACGCGTGACGAGGCTCCAGGACCATCTCATATTCCTTCTTCTTTCCATCTTAGAGCCGTAGGAAACATCAAGGCACCTTTCTACATTTTCATTCCAACATCTCATGAAATGTTTGCAGGGCCACCATCTTCAGGATGGGAATAAAGGATAGGGTGTGTCTTCTAAACAACTTGATTTTGGAGCAGATGCAGTCAGTGTAAAGTGCACACAGCAGGCAGAGGACCTATTACTGCTGCTGTGGATGGAGAAAATCCAGGAGCACTCGGGCCATTCTTGATTTCAGGAGCCCACTCTCAAGAATCTCCCTCTTCACTATCAGTTAGCATCAGGACAGCCCAGGAGGCTCACCCAGGAGAAGGTGTGGCAGACGGGGGAGGGAGGGTGCATCCCGAGGGCAGGTCAGAGAATTAGGGTTTCTTTGCTACTGAAATATAAAAGAATGTGTGCCAGGAGAAAGCCAGCTATACAACTGATACCAGTGTTTAAGAGAAGTCTGTTTTTGTAATTGCAGATGAGCCTGCTCGAACGTGAGCTGTCTGGTGGCTTGTCACAGTACTGAGCACTAACTCTCAGTTGTATTAATTTGACTTTTCTTTCAGCCGACAGCAGTGATGGATCCAGTTCAGAAGATGGCAGGGAAGACCAAAACGTGAAGACCAAGAGGAATCGGTAGGTGGTGGTGTCCTTTCCTAGCTTCTCTGTTCTTAATGGATACTTAGCTGGTGTAAAAAATTGTCTTGACTACATTGATTTTGTGCAAAGAACTAATTTAACCACTACCAACAGCAGAAGACCTTGGATTTTGTCTTGGCACCTGTTCTGGGCACCTTGTTTTTAGATTTTTTTGTGTGTGACAATGCTGGGGATTGAATCCAGGGCCTTGTGCATGCTAGACAAGCACTAATTTCCCACTGAGATAGTCCCCAACTGTGAGCACCTTTTCAAAGCAAGTGTCTGTAGGCTCTGCACTCAGGGGGACACTGTAGCCAGTGTTGGGCCTGTCGTATCCTCTGGATGCCCCCACGTTCAACCCAGGCTCTGCTCCTGTTGTCATGTTGGAGTGGTCAAGGTGGTCTCAGAGCTCAGAGCAGCCCTAAGTTTGGGGAGGGCATTCTGGCTTGATGTTGCAGCTCTGTGTCTTGCTTGCTCAGTGACCTTGGGAAATTAATCCAGCCCTGCTCTTGGGGCTCTCACTTGTAAATAAGATTAAACGAATCCTAACAGTACCATGAGGGGCTGGCTACGTGAGATGCTGAATAACTGCACATGATCCTCTGTGACAGGAAGCTCTTCACCCACGCTGGCTCGTCACTGTGGGGCAGTGGTGGTTGCAAATACAGGATGAGAGAGTCCTCTTAGGCTAGGAATGACTTCCCCTAGTTTTTCCCACAAGGCCACTGGTCTGTTCCACTTACACTCTGCGATTCACATAAAGAGACAACATAAGTGTTTAGGTTCCTCAGAGCAGGACAGATGGAAGGAAGCATGTGGCAGCTGGTTACCATCTTTGGAAAAGAATGGTGAGTTTGGATCTAATGGCCAACCCGACAGCATGTCTCCCAGCCTGTGTCCTGAGCTCAGTTGTTGGCCCGGGCGGGACCTGGATGATCGTGTGGTTGGAACATGGGTCTTGCCTCTACCTGGCAGGTGTGTGTCTACTCGTGCACCTGACTCCTTTATAGGGCCTTTCACAAAACTCCCATTTCTATGGCAGAAACCCCACTGGTCAAGCATATTAGCAGTGTAGGCATTTTCTCTTTTAAAAAATGTATTTTAGAAAAAGTATTGCTTTTGCTGGGGCACACATTTGTTATAACAAAGAACAAAATGAAATTTTGACTCAGAACTCATATCCATTTTCACCTCCTCAGTCCTTCACTCTGTGCTGTTTTAGCTGAAGACAAAGGTGAGACCAAGAGCCAGGCTAGCATGTGCCTGACCGTGGAGCTTAAGGTGGACTCTTCTCTCCAGTGGATGCCCCAGCTAGGCAGCAACAAGATTTAAGTGAGTTCAGAGCCAAGCAGACACCCACAGAACTTTCCAGAACATTGTGGAAGGCTAACTGCTGTCATCTCCAAGGTCTAGAGACTTCTGGCAAGAAGTAGGGTCTCCTCCTCCCTGGGCTTCTGCCACCTTGGCCATAGCACTCTGGAGGCGGTGACCCCTGTGTGGAGGACTGGCTGCCACACGGCAGGGGTAGGGATCTGTGTGGTGCTGTGGTGAGTCCTTCTAGCCAACCTCAAGGGCATCCTCTCTTGCTGCCCCACATCTCCTTAGGAGGTCACTTTGGAGGGCCAAAGGGCACTAGTGTGGTTACAAGGAATGAAGATTGAATGTTTTTGATATGGGCAGGGGCTCCAGGAATAGGCAGAAAGGGCTGCCTCTTGGCTTCTATGTCCCCGCCATGGACATTAGCCTGTACACGTCGACACTGAGGGGAAAGGGAATCAAAACAGTGGCTTGATAGATTGAGGCTTGTGTAGAAAGAAAAGCTCTGTGGATCCAAAGCAGCCCATATGTCTCCTACATCACCCAGCCATCCCAAGGGACTGCCTTCACATTCCCAGCTGATGGCATTTAAATTACATCAAAACATTAATTTTGTCTTTAGTCATCTGAATGACTTGCAGAATTGAAAACTGACTTTGGCACAAGCACAGGTATTTTGCACAGAGCTGCCCCAGTTTGGGCAGTTCTCTGTGTCCATGTCTGTCACACAGCTTTGAAGAGTGTGTGAAAGAGGGATGCATGAGCACATGCAGGTGTCCCTCCGTGCTCACCTGGCACTCACCAATGGCCGCTGTGGTGAGACTGCTCTTCTAAGAAGCTCTTGCAAGAAGATGCTCTGCAGTAGCTACTCAGTCAGGTGCAGGGCCCCACATGTTCCACCAAGTCCTTTCTGTTCGTTCGCGAGCCATCGCACAGAAGCCAGGCCTATTCCATTTGGGACCTGCACCATGGAATGGTTTTCCCAAAGCTTGCTCTGCAGGGATGATCTGTTACTCCTGCCTCAGTGAACCCCTGGGCAGACCAACTGCACTTGACATTTTGACTCATCTTTGGGAAGGTTATTGTCAATGAGGTCAAGGCCTCTCATGCTTCTGAGAACTTCATGTATTTTATGCAACAGAATCTGGCATACATAGTAGGGAACATGCCTCCACAGCGTCTGCTGAGATCAGTCCACTTTGACATGCCCTTTCTGTATAAATAACAGATTTTTTTGCTCATCACAAAGCACTTAAAAATCCCCCTGTGATGTATGACTGCTGGGCAGCTGTTTTGCAATGTTTGAGAAACAAGGGAATGAACTCTGAGGACAAAGGTTCTGTATGCTAATCTCCACTCCTGTATTTCTTATGAGCTCTGGCACAGTTAACACATTTGGGGCATTCATACACATGGAATTACATTGATTTTTACAAATAATGTATGCCCAAATGATAATTTTCCTAAAATTCCCTTGGAGGAGAAATATGTCAGAACAACAAGCTTTCAAACCATGAAAATGTTTTAAACTACCTGATGAGTGCCACTTCAGAGCACTCATTATTTACTATTTAGTGGAATGTGTTCACAATGCAAGACCATCCATCTTCCCTGGGACCTGAAAATTGATTACCTGTTGCTTGTCCATTTTCTGAGCAGTGCCTGGAGCCTCAGCCAGTTTCTGAAGTGAAGGTCTTTTTATAGTTCGGGCTGCATTTTGAATGTGCATTCTATTTTGGGGAGTTGGGCTTTTATTTCAAATAATTGAATTATTTTAGGGACTCAGCAAAAGTACGTCGTTCGGTTTAAAAATAAGAATGAACGTATCCACAAAATATTTTAGAGAAGAAATCACTGTGAGTATGCACCACTTCTAGCCCCTTCATGAACTATAAGGTGTTACCAGTTATGGGTGAAAAGCTAAATTGAGAGCTTTTCATCACATCAGAGAGTGAAGTTGCTCTATCATGTTTTCAATTATCGTTGGCCCAATGACCATGTTAACATATTTATATCTCCATAACATTGGTGTGGACTTCTTGTACTATGAGTGACCAAAACGCCTCTCCTGGTTTGGGTTGTTGTTTATTATGGTGGTTTGTAAATTGGGGGAAGTCAATTATTGGCTATGATGAGCATGGTCAAGTTGACCTCCTACCATAAAACCGGAATGTCAACTAGTCAAATAGGCTGGTTTCTTGGGGTCATATAGGGCTCTTGCTGAAGACCCAAGCAGCTGGAATGAGTAAGAGGGGCCGTTATGCTTTGCCCAAACCTGCCTCCATTACTCTACTCTTAGCAAACCAAGGTGTCTGCATGATGCCCTGTGCAGACCTTCTGGGGCTGGGATGTAAGGGAATTTCAGGCTTCCCTGAGGAGGTAATTCCCACAAGAAGTTCCCCTTTCCTGATGTCTACACTGCTCCTGAGATACCCTCCAAGGAACTTTGTGGTTATGACCCATCTACCTGGGGTTCTGCACTCCACCTGGGCACATTATAGGGCAAGGTGGGTCCTTTCAGAGCAAAAGAAGAACATGACTATCCAAAGGACAAATGCAAGGATTTAATGCTAGTATTTGATCCTTATAATATAAGACCAAGTGTGGAGGCTTTGCAGCTACCACCCCCAAGACTATCCCCAAGTAAAACCCACATCTGCATAGAGTCAGCTGTGGGAGAAGAAGAAAGGAGACACCTCCTGTACATCCAGAAAGCTCATCACCTGTGAAGAGGAAAGTAATGGTTAGTGAGCAGGCACGTTCAGCAGGCAGGAGGGTCTGCACATTCAACCCCTGTTCTCACAGTGCAAGATGAGCCTTTCTTCCTACACCAATGGTTTCTAGAATGACAGAAAAATTAAGAATTGAGAAGGTGGGAGACTTGAAATGTTATAAGATAATGTAATAATACAAGTGTACTCCAAATTAAGACTTATAAGTCACATCTTTAATTTGTCCCTGGATAGCAACAGAATTCTCTCCATCCTATCTCAGCCCCAGAGTTTTGTCTAGTTTCTGGGGACATTATGAGACAGGAGATGCAAAGGACAACAAATCACTAACCTTCACTTTTCTTTAAAGTTATTCTTTGTACTTCATTCATTCTTTTCGGTGATCAGTTGGTTCTACATAGAGACCCATGGCTTTAAAAATGGTATTGAGTCTGTGCCATATATCATTAGGGCATTTTACACAGGACCCTTCATTGACATCTGTCTATGAGAAGACTGAGAGCAGGAGCAGCGATTTGTCATAGGATTTTAATTTGTCTTTTCAGGCTGAAGCATGGATACTCCCAAACATTAATTTTTTTTTCAAAAATGGTCATGAAACTTGTCCATCTCTGAGAGGAGAGAGCACAGTTAGGAGAAGCACAGACACAGCAGAGGCTGCTTCCTTGCAGGTGGGGACAAGCGGTGTTCTCTTCCAGGCTCCATGAAGCATTTCACTCAAATAGAGAGAAGTCTTAAATCTGGCTGCCAGGAGGCCAGTCTAGAATGAGGTCTGGAGCACTTGATCCAAGTGTTCCTCAGTGATCTCTGTCTTCCACTTCACTTGACTCCATTGTGTAGTAAGGCCTTGGCCTTCACTGTCATCATATCTTCACACAGTGCAAGCAGGAGCTGGTGAGCCTCCTGGGGCCCATCCTGGCTGGCAGCAGGCTTGAGAACCCGTGAGAG